AAGATTTTTACATAAAGTTTCCCTCTGGTGAATTATGAACTATTGTCAACCCTTAAGGCAGCGTTTTGGGAACATGTCTGGGATAAATTAATTAGAATTATTATTTAACGTAAAGAAGTTTTTGGGAAATAAAATATAGATTTACATATTGTGAATGGAAATCATTTAAGAGATTCGTTTTAAGGTTTAGAAAATAAATAGAAAAGGAGTTAAAATTAAGAATATAATATGATAATTTGGAATTATAAAGAAGCCGCCTAAACAGAGAAATAATTAAAGCCTTAATATAAAAGGGACTTCCTACAAATATATAAGAGTCTGAAATAACACTTTAGGAAAATTATAGTAGACTGCGAAATATTTGCTCCATCTCATACAATCCAAAATATGGATTCCATAAAGACCTTGACGAAATTCTTTTATTACTTATTAGTGAATGATGTAGGCTGATAAAAGGAGAAAACATTCTAAAATTTGTAAAGGAGGAGAAAAAGATCAATATTGGCGCATTATATTAGTATGCAAAACATTAAGGTATTTTGCTTAATGATGAATTGGCGAGTGAAGTAAATTTTAATGGTCTGCAGTTTGTGAAATAAAATCAGAACAATCAAATAAACTAGGAGATCTTTTAAGATTATGCATATAGATTCATGTTAGATACGCTTAATTCTGGTTAACATGATGTCGCTTTAGTGATGAATTTATTATTAGCCCTAAAAATTAGCTAATAGGATCTCTTTGAATTGAATTACCAGAACATTTAAGAAGAAGACAATTATTGCATCATATATTTATAAAATGAGGAAAAGTTGATACTTAAGAGAGAAAATCTACTTCCTGAGTTATAGATGAAGTTTTGGGGCAATATTGGTAGTATTTTTAATGTAGTAGAAGGATAGTAATCAAATAAGAGAAATAAAATCAATGAATAATTCAATGAAACTAGGAAAATTTTGATTAATAATTTAGAAAAGTCAGAAAAGGATTAAACTTATTAGAACTTCTTATTATAGATAAATTTAAACAATTATAAGATGATGGATAAGACTAATTTAAGAATCTTCAAATTAGCAGATAATGATTTATAAAAACTTTAAGAACAGAAGAAGGAGATATAGCAGTTGAAGCAAGCTAGTAAATCTGATTCCAAACAAGAAAAGGCTCTTTAAGAGATTCCAAATTAAGAATCAATAGAGGCTTAATGTAAATCCCAAGTTGCTAATCAGAAAGTCTAACCTGTTCAACAAATTTAGAATAAGACAAAATGATGATTATGAATATTTAAATATCATTATTTTGTAATCGTTTCTTATTTTATTTATTATACAATAAATGATAAAGTTAAAATATATTGCTCTATTTGTTGATTATCAAATATTTAGATAAGAATTTATCGAAGTTTTAGATAAATTGTCTTTAAAACTTATATAATCTTAGATTTTAGAATGTAAAATTTATTATTATTTATTATGCAAGATAGTAAAAAAAATAGATAATTTTTAATTTTCATCATAGATGAAAAAAGCATTTTTGAAGCATTTAATGATTTAAGGATACAAAACTCATTTATGATTCAATATCCTTGATGAGAGATTATTATTAGAACTTGGAGAATTATAAATTAATTATTTAAAAATCAAACAAATTATAAAATTAAAGCATATTCTTCAATACGACTAGTTTTAACGCATTAATTGAAATTTTAAAAATAAATTTAACCATAAATCACCCAAATTTTTATGAATTATTTCTATATCCAGGATTTTCAAGATTTATTTATCCAACTTTGTTATTTGATATTATTATCTCTAAATTGCATCACATTAATTTTTCCTTAAAAGTTCGTAAATGTACATAGATCAAATTATTTGTAAATATTAAACCAAACACTCATCCTATATTAAAAAATCAATCCTCGTCACCTTCATTAAATTGCTGATATACCGTTGTCTACATCGATTGATTCCTTATAGCATTCATTATTGTCCATATTTCCTTTATTATTCAGTTCTCCTCTATTTATTTAAATGTGGCCTTTTATAATGGATTTTTTCGATCCATTTCCCATCCTTCTTTATTATATTCATATCTACACTGCAACTTAGCTTTGAAAGGATATCATTCCACATGAGGAAATTGCTTTGAATTATACATCTAACTTCTGCTGTTTATATGAGCAATCAAATATATATATTATTAATGTTCAAAGACTTATTTTTTCTGATTTTAATAAGGAGTACCTAATTTCATTTTAAAAACCGTTTCTTTTTGCTTAAACCCTTCTTGATGATGTTCTTACATATTGTCTTAAAAATAGTTTCAATACTATTATTTGCTATATCACGCCTAAGCTCCATATGCATTATTTTAAGATTCTAATATTCAAATTTTGAATAATTACTTTTTGTGTTTTTAAAAGGCCTTCCTATTATAAGTTTAATCTAAATATAATCTGCTATTTAATGCATAGCTCCTAATATTATTGGATATTTTGTTGATACCTTGACTGAATTGGAAAATATAACATTAATTAATAATTTCTTCCTCTCAATAATCTCAAAGACATCGGAGTGAGATACAAGAGAAAAAATAATCTTAAAAAGCCTAATTTCAAATTATAAACGTCTAAATGATATCAGTTTAAAGAATTTATAAAAACTAAACTCAATAAATTGTTAGAGGAGATTTATTTTTCTTAGTGGTGAGTCTTTATAATCAAATTTGGTCATATAAATGTATTGATTGAACTTCTGAACATAGCAGAGATGTATCCATTTTCATAGGTATGTTGATGTTGATGTTTATCTTTTGTCCTTTCCTTTGCTTTGGCCCTTCTACTTTTCTTGCCGATTAAACTAAAATATGAAATTCAATATGATTTTGATACGCATTGAAAATAGGGTCTAGGTTTCCTTATCTTTACTTCCAATCTAATAATCGTAGTTAAAGATTACCTAAAAGAGTATAATAAAAAGCATCAACTTCTAGGATTGTTGCAAACAAGTATCAATAAAAACCCATCAAAATAGCACAAAAAAAAACAAAATACTCTAATGTTCACAATTTTTACGAGCAAAAATGCAGCTGATTTCAGTAATTCCTGTCATATCGATCAGATTCATACTATTTGAAAGCCACTAGCTAAATTAATTTAGCTGGCCCAAGACAATTGATGCATCTCTTTTTGAATAAATGGATCAATAGTTTCAAAGTATTGTATATTTGCTCAAATCCATCTGTTTGAACTAATAAATATGTGTTCAAAAGTCTTTTGATGTGCATATTTTCTGTGATTCTTTTGATGCTCTATGCCAAAGCGTATTTACAAAAAAGAAATATTTGAAGTGCAATTACTTATCGAGAGAGAGCATTCAATCTAATACTCAGAAGAATTCATAAAAATTGACTTTGCCTTTTGTCAGTAGATCAAATACTTTCGTTGCACCAGAAACTTTAATATATTTTAGAATTATTTGAATAATCTAGATTAAGATTTGCATTTCTAAGGACAATTTGTAACAAAAAAATGAAGCAGATTCTATATTT